ATAAGTCTTTAGGAGAAAAAAAATGAATAAATTAACTAAACATGTTATGGTACATAAGTAATAACTTCTCAAGTAACTAGATATTAAAATAAATAAAATTGGCATAAGGGTGATTTTGAATAATTCTGAACAATTAATTAGCTGCCTTATGAACGATTTAACATAGTTTTCTGTCTTTTATGTAAATTAGCTTTTAGAATACGTTTCCAATAACTAGTGCTATTATTAAAAAAATGCAATCTCACAACTGCAGAAAACAGACACACAAACATTAACTGACATGTTATTGTTTTATAAGCTCAGAATAAGTCTTCTAAAAGAAGAAAAACATTTACGAAGATTAAGAATAAAAAGATTGCACATATTATACATATACACATACATAAACATTCTAAGTAATGTTTCCATGACAAGGAATTTTTGCAAGCAGGAATTTCAGATGTCTTGATAAGTTATCAGTGATGGAACAAGAACAGTCGAAATCATAAAAATGACAAAATTATAAATATGTTAATTTTGTGATCTACTTCCTTGTCTCATGTTAAATTGTACAATAAATAATTAACAATTAAATGTATTTGCTGCAAATATATGAAGAGTTCTTTATACACTGTAACACAAAACTTCAAAAAAGCTATTTCTTTGTGGAGTTAATATACTATATACACATTATGAACATTGAAAATTAATTTTAAACAAAGTGAAATAAAACAACAACAGCTATAAAATCTACATAACTACATTGCACAACTCAATTCGGCATCATTTCTTTTAGAATAAATATATGGCAATTTTTTTAAGCTGGGAACAACAGTAACTAAGACAGTAAAATACAGACTAGAATCAAAATATGAAATACAACATATAAAGCTGCATTTTATGGAATTAAAATGCATAGAAAACAAGGGCTACAAAAATCTTTCTTCAAACAAATAAAAAAATCATCAAAACAATACAAATATTTTAAGAAACTTGGCATGCAGTTTAAAACCAAATCTACATGACGTATAAAATCACACAACAAATAAAAAAAGATTAACACTAGTAGACTGTTTTCGTACAAAACACGTTAAAACTATCTGACATACTGACGAAGTACTGTACATATATATATATTTATTTATATATTTATATTTTATATAAATAATCTGCATAAAATAATTTATCACTGTCGTATTTACATACTGACAAAGCTTCTAAATTTACATGACATTTTAAAACTTAATAAAATCTATAGGTACACAACTAATCGTCTCAATTCTGAATAAATATTTCATTATGAAATTACTTTCATAAAATGAAAACACTGGCAACACCATCAACAATTAAAGGGAGAAAGTGTATCTCCTAAACAAAGAGGTTTAACATTTTAATAAGAATAATCACAAAAGTTAGAACAGCCTGAATTTAACGTCAGAATAACTAAGTAATAAATTTCGAAAAACAAATGTTAAATACTTCAGATTTTACAATCAATTTTTTGAGAGAGAGAGCTCAAATAGCCCAATATTAACAGGTTAAGTCCATATTATTTTCAATAGAAAGAAATATAATAATACATTTAAAAATATTTTATATATATGAACATTTGTAACTGTGCTTCTTATTAAGTTAACATTAAATTTATTGCAAATTATAGTACTCTGAGGTTCTCAAAATACATGGCATTAAAAACACTGACATTTAATTTACTATTTCCTAAAGCTCAGTCCAGTTTTACAAAAGCAGTTAAATTATACATACAAGCTATTTTTTTTTTTTTTTTCCCAAAGAAGAGGCAAATTATTTAAAATAACACAAAAAGGGAAAAATGAATTTTATGTCTGAAGTACTATTTGAAATTGTTATAACATAAAAAATTATGTACAATCAAAACCATTTAGAATACTTCTCGCAATATTTTTAAAAAAACTGCTTAAACATGAATATTTTTCACGCAAGTGCAATATATATTTATGACATCATGAACAAGATCACATAAAATAAATACTTTGAGAGGAAAGACATTTTTAAGAAAGTTCTACTGTATATATATCTATATGGATAACAAAACACAAAACAAATGACAAGTTATAACTTTTCCCATTTACATAAAAAATAAATGCAGATACTTTAGGCACTGATTGCTATACTTTTGTGAATTATTCTTAAATATACTGATAAAACATATTACTTTTACTTAACAGTAACAAGCAACAGCATTTTTACATGATGGTAGTAACATTAAAATCCACATCAAAAGCAAGAGAAAAATAAGAATTGAATGCTGGAAATTAAGGATATGACTTAGTTAAATTGCCTAATTACATTAGAATAAGTGCTCATTTTGAGCACATCTATAAACATAGGACTTATATAAAATATAAACATTCATACATAATTTTGAAAATATAATTTGGAGAAAGGCCAAAAAATACATATGATAAGAAAATGAAACATTTCCAGCTATCAAACAAACCAAAGAATTTCTAGTAATTTCTGAACCTGAAAAGATTATGCAGTTTTACATCAAGAAATTTATGAAAAGTAACTATAAACAAATAATTAATATACTTTGATTTTTTTACAAATCTATAATTATGCATTCAGAAACTTGCATATATCTGTTGCGCTCTTAATTTACATATTTCCCACATGTGAAAATGCATTAATTTTCAATAAAAAAGCAACTGCTTGATATTTCTCCCATGTTGATCAGAAAGTGGGAAAAAAATTATGTAAATATAAACACAGGGAGGAGAAGAAAAAACAAGATTTGCATTAACAGAATACCTCCGGCCAGCAGAAACCAGTAATTCAAATGATATATAATACACATTTGTGCACAAAAACAATCTTTAGAAAGTAAAACATGCAAATATATTAACAAGTACAACACACTGGATAGACAAAAGAAATACTTTGTACTAATCATTTGCATGTTTGTTATTAGATAATCAATTAATAATCTATTAGAAAGCTTTGTAAAACAGCAAGACAGATAATTTAGGTTAAAATAACATGCCAAACAAATATTAATTTAGAAGTCAAACAACAAAAATCAATGTTATACAGTCAAAAGTCTTTAATATGGATGTCCATAATCCGGACCTCAAAGCTACAAACTTTCTGTGCATGCGCGTTTAATGTATAACGGAGTGTATAAGCTAAGCTAAAATTACCTAATCATCTATTTCAGTTAATGTTGCAGATTGCGTTGTTCCTTAATCTTCTAATTGAATCTGGCTTATTATTTTTTGCAGACTGTTAGAGCAATTTCATAAAAGTAAGCTTGAACTTTCGATTATGTCAAAAAGAATTTCCGATTCTGGAGCTGCCAAAAGGATCTACAAAGCAAAAGTATGTTTCGATGTCCACCAAACAAAAAGTTGAATTGCTGCAAAAAATGGATAAAGGCATATCCTTTGTTTCTCTAACCATTCTAAAATCTGTTAATCAATTTCACGCTGCTCTGGCGGGGAGGGGACGGCACGGCGTGCAATGAACTGGAAGTTGATCTATCAGCAGTATCCTTATCTTCCGAGCAGATGTTTTTATTTTATTCGGCTTATAATTCCTTACTAAATGTATTATTTCATCTCGATGTACTCTGTCTTTGATATGATTTAAATCAAATTCCTCGTCATTATAAATATCACGAATACACATCAAATAGTTTTCTGGTTGCAATTTTCTAATTTCGACTATGCGTAATGTATGCTTTACGCATGCGCGCATGTTGAAAGTGTTTAATAAAGTAAACAAATAAATATTATGCTTTTTTTTGTAAATTTTGATACCCTTTAGATCATAATTGCTCTTTATTTCATAAATTACGGTTTCATATTTTTAATTTTATAATTTCTGCATGCCGTCTTACCAGATTTAAATTGATGATCTATAATCCAGAATCGCCAAAGTCCCGACGAGTCCGGATTAAAGATTTTTGACTGTATTTGCAAATATTCACAGTTTCACACTGTGAAACTTTGCAAATATAATGCTGATTTTTGTTGTTTCACTTTTAAATTAATAGCAAAATAGATAGTTTGTAGCAAAAATAACCTATGATTTCCTTCAGTTATCTCAGAAATGCATCCCAATGAATAGTGATCTTATACCAAGTCTAAGAAGTAAAATGGCTTCTTCACAAAACACCATAAATATGAGCATAAAACAGAATATTACCTGTATGGCTTTTATTTGTGAAATTTAATAAAGAGTACACCCTTTTTTAAATGGAAAAAAAATTACAGCAGCATTTTTTTCAATGACATAGATAACGATATATAATAAAAGGTAAAGATAGGCTTAGAATATAAAATACAGAAAGAACATCCACTGTATATGAATAAAATTGTGGCTAGCTATGTAAAACTTTGCTTGATGAATGAAAAAGCATCACTATGTTTTTAAAGCACATAATGCATTAGTATGAAAAAGAAGGTAAAATTTTTAAGCATTACTAAAATGTCATTTTAATTTTAATTTGGCTTAAGGTAATACACATTTCTATTATGTCTTTAGTCACTTTGAATGACTTGAAAAAGTAACTTGTAACATGCTATTTCCCCCATTAGTGAAAGTATTAAAGGCATTTGACTGCACAGATTGTTGATGCACAAAAGAGGCCGGAGGTTAGACGTACAACACTCTAATAAATAAATAAACAAAACAGTTTTTATATGCAAATAAAGCTCCTGTAATGCAAGTCATAAGTTTTAATTAAAACATACAGTTTAAAATGGACAACCTGAACATACAGCAGATTATAAAATGACTGAAAGACAATTCTCAGACTTTTCTTTCTTTCTTTCTTTTTTTCTTTTTTTTTTGGTACTTCACAAAACTGAACAACACCCAAAATGACAAACATAAATAATATTAGAGGGAAAACATACACAAATATCTACAGCCTGTATCCAGATATGCTGAAAGTAGTATAAAATCTTATATGTAGCAAACTGATTCTAAGATATGTCTCAAATTAAAAACACTTCTGATGAGAAAATAATAATAATAAAAAAAAAAGATAAACTTTATTTCATATGATTATCATCATGATCTGTAGAAAAAGTAATTTCCTTTTAACAGTAAAAATAAAGGAAAATGTGAGTAATATCATTTAAGGCTATATGTTATGCCAGGAAAACTGCAAACATAAGAACATCTTGCTTTATGAAAATACTTTTTTTTTTTTCAGAAGTGAGCACTGTAGAGGAATATTTTATTGCATTTGACATTAACACGCAAGAACAAGAATACTCTAATGAGTCCCATAGGTCCTGGCACTACACACATAACTACTAAAACACATAGGACATTTAACTGACATTGCTAATGTTCTCGTTGTAGCTATGCATTCAAGATGCATATAAATCATCTCAAGTTCTAAATTAAAACTTCCTTTCTCACATGAAAGAGTTCCTTATAAACCATATTTAAATGATTAACACAACCATATAAGATTAAATTAAAAAAGGAAAATTCCAAGTGACAAAACAAGTAACAAAACAGAAAATATTTCACATAAAATGAAATACAAATCAAGAATAAATACAGATAATGAAAATATATTATCACGACTAAATTCAATGAGCTCCTCAAAACTATTTCCTTTGTCTAACATCTTGCCCTTTCATTTTTTGGTCACGATGATGTTTGCTACGGACAAGAAGAAACCACATTAAAAGCTTAATTATAAACACAAATTTAATTAGATTACAACATATACTACAAAGTTAAAAGTTAGCAAAAAATGTTAACAAAACATTTCAAATGTAAACAATGTGTTTAGTCACTGAAACATTTGCTACCAGATGCACTGGAAGACAGAAGTCTTTTGGTATTTGTTAGATAGACCTACAGGCATATAAGCAGGTTGTATCATAACAAGGATCATTTCTGCATTAAGAATTTCTTAACTGACATAGTTGTATGATTCAGAATATTGTATACAGCACTCAACCAAATTCACAAGCACTTACTTGCACACAAGACACAGCACTAACAGTGGAACATGTTGGCACAAATTAATTAACGGTTAATGCTCAAGTTACAAAAGAAAACAATCAATATTACTTTGACTTCAGTTTTGATACTTCGTATTCTTTTCAGTCTCAAAGCTATAGATGCAGATCTGGCTCTAAGCATAGGTAATTTAGACAACTGCTTAAACTGGTGACTTTTAGTTACAGCAGCACTGGAAATATTTATTATGCAACTGATAATGTTACGTATGACAAACATATACTTCTTTATAATAACATGAGTGAAATGCATTAGCTGAGACTTTCCAACTTATAAATTCTTTGAATATCTGAGTCAAACAAAAGCAGTGATTCATTGTTGAACACAGTACAATTCCAATTAGATTACCATTTCATGTTAACAGTTAAAAACTAGATGCTGCCACATACTAAAGTTCAGCCTACATCAGCCTTCTTTTCATGATCACCTTAATCTTTTAATAATTAGTCTTCTTTTAATGGCTGTATCCCCACACATCCAAAAAATAGGGATATATGGCTTTGAACGACAGATAGAGTTATTTTTCGTATTTTCTTGTTTTCTTATCTCATGTGTAGCAGCTCAGTACTATAGCTGAACTCGTCTACGACTCTTTCGACCTGTTGATATGTTCTCCCTTTTACTTCCCATCTATATGGTATAACTGTTAGAAAATCGACTGCTTGTGTTATCCAGGGATAGTGCACTCATGCGCAAGAGCCTAAAACTGCGAACTGTGTTCGCCTGAGTCGACAGATAGAGTAGTCAAAGCGTAAGTGGGAGAAAATAAGTTTCAAAATCCTGATTTGTTTCTATATGACAGTATAGTCTATGGTGCAGTGTATGAATAATGAAATTAAATTTTCCCGTTTATACAATATATATATATAATCAATCATCTGTCTAACCAATTAACATCAATGGCCTTCACCCTTTAACTACTATAAACTAGTCACTATTAAGAAAACTTCAACTGTAAACTTCTCAGAATTTCTGTACCATCTTCGGCAAAGTGCCTTCAAAGCTCTTTTATAACTTTTTCATTGCAGGTGACTGACATTCCCTTACAACTGCGAAGAGAAATTTTTTGAAGACAGGGATCAGAGCATTTCTAAGAGTAAGAGCTTAGGGGACCTTGGTTCACTTATGAGTTGTTTAAAGCTATATTTACATAATACAGTCAAAAGTCTTTAATCTGGACGTCCATAACCTGGAATGATCTATAATCCGGACCTCAAAGCTACAAACTTTCTGCGCACGCGTACACGCATTATGAGTTTACGCATGTGCATAATACCTTTACACACGCACAAATACGTTTATGCATGCACGTTTAATGTATAACGGATTGTATAAGCTAAGCTAAAATTATCTAATTATCTATTTCAGTTAATGTTGCAGATTGCGTTGTTCCTTAAATCTTCGAATTGGATCCGGCTTATTATTTTTTGCAGACTGTTAGAGCAATTTTATAAAAGTAAGCTTGAACTTTTGATTATGTCAAGTTTCCGATTCTGGAGCTGCCAAAGGATCTACAAAGCGAAAGCATGTATCGATGTCCATCAAACCAAAAGTGGAATTGCTGTAAAAAATGGATAAACGCATATCCTTTGTTTCTCTAACCATTCCGAAATCTGTTTATCAATTTCACGCTGCTCTGCCGGGGAATGGACGTCGCAGTGTGCAATGAACTGGAAGTTGATCTGTCAGCACTATCCTTATCTTCAGGGCCGATTTTTTTTATTTTATTCGGCTTATAATTCCTTACTAAATGTAGTATTTCATCTCGATGTACTCCGTCTTTGACATGATTTAAATAAAATTACTTGTCATTATAAATATCTAAAAAATTTTCTGGTGGCAATTTTCTAAATTTCGACTACGCATAATGTATGCTTTACGAATGCACACGTTGAAAGAAATGTTTAATAAAGTAAACAAATAAATATTATGCTTTTTACTTCCTTGTACAAAGTAAAACGGAAGTATTGTAATTGCAAAAAGTTTCAGCCAGCATATTTCAACTAAAATATCCCATTTTGACCTCTTTCAAATGCAATTTAACTATGTATTTCCGTGATATTTGTATGTAAGAACAGAATAAAACACTATTTTCCCCCAAAAAATTATAAAGCTGCTTTAAAATGAATTCTGAAGAGAATTTTTCGTGGCTTTCGTGTACGAACGTGTGTACGTACTTGCATAACTCAAAAACGAGTAGCCTCAGAACGTTGAAATTTTGTATATAGGACTGCTATAACATGTAGATGTGCATTTCGTATTTTGGTTGCAATCGGCGGCACCAAACGTATATAAATATATTTATATATATATATCCACTCTATTACCCGGCTCAGTGATCTCAGTTTCTTTACTCTTATATGTTTGTAAATTGCACATTTTTTGCTTTAAAAATGATTGAATTATGTTGTTCTTCTCATCCGGTTAAGGTTTTTATGCCTTTAGTAAATCTGTATGGAATATTTTTAGAATTATCAACAATTTTAAAATTGTTTAAGTGTTGCTAAGCCTAATAATGTTTTTGATGGCAACCATTGCTCTTGTTTACATTTGAAACAGCAGGATAGTGGATTTGTTGCCAATCTAGAGAAACTTAGCTTTGCAACAACAAAGATAATGCCTTCATTTATTATTTAAATCATGCTTAATCCTTTCTGGAATTTTTTCGAGGAAATAAGCGTTTAGGATTTACTTCGTAATTTTTAATACAGATATTTTGAGCTTTTATGTATTTTTGCCTTGTCGCAAAGTGAAAACTGAATTGATTGAATGAGAAATACTCAATCGTCTATGAAAAACTGTTTCTTTTTTGTTTTGTTTGCTTAATTTCTTTTATACATCGTTCTAGCTTTGTTATAGTATTTGAATAGAACATGTGGCAACGATTAAATAATTTTTTAAATGATATAAATTTTGTGCATTCTGAGTTATAATATGAACAAAATATAATACTGTTAAGTAAACCTAGCGCCAGAGTGTTGCTATGGTAAACAAAGTGAATTTTAAAGAATGCAATTATTCTAATGTGGTTTATGCGCTGTCGGCGAAGTAGGTTTAATTTAATCTAATAAGTTTAAATGAAATGCAAGAAAAAATGCATATAATTTAATATTCCGTACAAGGAAGTCGTGGTGTACACATCAGATATTTTTTTTTTGTCAATTTTGATACCATTTAGATCATAATTGCTCTTTACTTCATAAATTAGGGTTTCATATTTTTAATTTTATAATTTCTGCATGCCCTCTTACCAGATTTAAATTGATGACCTATAATCCGGAATCGCTGAAGTCCCGAAGAGTCCAGATTAAAGACTTCTGACTGTATTACATAAATTAATTAATAAATCTATAAGAACTAACACTCATGGATAAGTATAATGTCTTCATTCTACCTAAAAGTAATGTCTATAATAAAGGTTTTCTAAGACATAATAAAATATATCTTTCATCAGTAAAAGTTACAAATAACAATAATAATTCTAATAAATTACAGTCTGTATTTTCATATTGGTTTACTAATGTGTACATATACTAAAACACATACTAAAGAAATGCAAACTTGATTTCAAAATATTTATGTACCAAATAAAACATACTTATCTGTGGGAAGATCAGTGTCTGGTTCATCACATTGAGTCATACTCTTCCTTCTTTCATATACAAAAATAATGGAACATAATATAGCAACTTCTGCACAAATTCCAAGGAAAGGCCACAGTGCAGCAAGTTTATCTGAAATTAAAATCAGTCATGAGCATAAACAAAAGATTTTAAAAGTAATATACCATTAATTTCTAGCAATAAAAATTTGAAAAACTACTTGATTTGAATGAAATCTATCATTTTTATTCTTTGTAATATGTAGATACAAATACAAATGTAAAAATAAAAACAAAAGTGCATTTACTTTGCAATATCCATTGTACCTAAATTTTGAATCTACATTCACAAAGCAGTGGCAATTGTTCTAGTAACTTCAGACTGAATTAGTTAATCATGGGAAAACACTAAATATTTGTCCTCCCCCCCAAAAAAAAAAATAAATGAATCCCAACAACATTCTTAAACTGTAAAAGTTCTGTTTAAGATTTCTCATTAAACACCAGCTTTACAATAAAACAGGAGACTTAATTCTTTGACACTTTTCTGTTTCATTAAAATTCTTCACATAATTATCTTAGGTATGATAAAATAGTTCTATCATTCCATTCTTACAAATTTGATTTAAATTTTAATTTGACTTATCTTGGGCAGCTTTAGATCATTATAATTATTATTTTCTTATTTACTGCAATTTGCTTATTTCAATAAATAAAGCTTCCTTACTTATAATGAAAAGACTTCAAACTCCTTTTTCATCATTTCTAAGCACTTCCATGGCTGAATTTTTAAAACTACACATGAGGGGGGATTTACATGATTTTTTTTTTTTTTTTTTTTTTTGTTGACATCTACCTCTAATGAACAACAGCAAAAGTTTTATTCACCACCTTTTTCAGGGACAGCAAAATACAACTGTAGTAGTAGTCTTACTGATCTTATCAGATATTAGATCTTCATGTCATCAATATTTAAACAGAAATTTTTTTAATTATTGCTTAAATCATTTTTTCATAATGTCACATATTTCTTAAGCTTCACAAAACCCATCTCAATTTCCCCCCTTCGAAGTTATCAAAAAAGTGAAGTAGACAATGCCATGCTTTTTACTGCAATCACAATATGAAGACTAACAATGATATGTAATAATATGGCAGGGTCATTCAAACTCCACCCTTGGCAGTTCTGCAACATTAAAAAACATATTAAGTACTCTACTGTAATAATCATATTATATAATTCTGTTGAGTCCTAGTGCTGCCAATGAAGCACACAAAAATTCTCAATGAGCATGATGCCACACAGAAGTGCTGCCTAAAAAAAAAAACCTAGATGATGAATGGCACATATTCATCTATATAAGTAGCACAGTCAGAATGGTAGTTGCTCTCTAGTTTTAAGAAACGCCTATAGAGAGCACGCTGTACCCCACCTGTTTCTTCAATATAGGAATGGAATTTGTACTAGCGAGATGTGCTTAACTATGAGTAAGAATCTTTGTAAGGGAATCGCGGACCCTAATAATGAGCAGCAAAACAATACTATACTCTATTTCAGTAACCTGTAAATAAATTATTTGTTGTGTTTTAAACTGAGCCTTTCATCGTCTGTTACATACAAAAATGAACCACTGAAAGAAATTAAATTGACAACGTTGATGATAGTTACAAGTTTTGGATTAGCAAAATCTAACACTAGTCTCATTGCAAGCAAAAGTTTAGATTTCTTCATGATATTGCATAAAATAGTCCAAGGATTTGCTGCATTTGAAGTTCTTTCTATGGAACACACTGTGTACATACTGCCTTCTAATACTGCTGGCTCCCAAGTAAGCAGTTAATATACTATCATAAAAATACATAAAAATATATTTGCTATATATAATAATACAGTAGTCATCTTTCATCAAATTAACCATAACCTTTCTCTTTGTAATACGATAATTCAGAGAATAAACCATTTATATTTACACATCTCTCAGACAGTGGTGGGATTAAAAAATTTTCAGAACCAGCTGCAGCCCAAATAAGCCTTAAAATTAGGTGCTTAGCAGATATAAATTGCTTAAATAAAATTAAAATTCTACTTCAACAGCTGATTTTCCAAGAAACCTATTTGAAACTGAACTATTTGAATCCTCCCACTGCTCTCAGTTAGCATAACCTATTTTTAAAAACGGTATTATGTGCCTAACAACTTATTCTTCAATGAGCTATTCTATGCAACCTTTCTACAGGTGAAGTATCTTTTATATTTAAAATGTGCACTGCAATGCATTATTGCTTGGCGAAAAGCATAATTTTAAATTAATCATTCATTAATGAACTACTATTCTCAAAGCTCCAATCACACTAATTGCTAATGTTATATTGTAACCTCATACAGGCCTTGATATTGAAATTACTATGGCAACTGCTGATGCAACTGCCATGGACAGCAAAATATCATACCAAATCTATGTTAATTTGAATTAACTACCTAAATAAAACACTGGAGAAACTTCATCGCATATTAAATCAAATAACTATGAAAATTTTCACTATATAACATGTTCTATGTATTTAATCATTCTGGTTCATTAAAAATTATACACATTATCCTATTTATTAATAAAAGGACTTTTCAGTATTGAGATTTTAGAAAATGCGATACCATACTAGTCTTCAAGGATTCAATATCACACATACGGAAATTGAGGAGTTAATTTCTCTTACTGTCTTTCAGTCAAACATGCTTTGTTTTCCAAAATAAATATTATCACAAAATTGAACAATTAGCTATGAGTAATTCCTCTTAGTCCTGTACTTGCTGACATTGCTTGCTAATGCACTACTTAAACTAAGTAGTGCATTAGCATTACTAAGGTCAAATTATTTGAGAAACTATCTTTCCGTATCAGGATTCAATACTGAGACGACACTTTTGCATTTTTGATAGTTCTCTGTTTATAGATCTATTAATTATTATCTGGCCATCCAGTTCACTTTTGAAACTGAATCTGATATCATCCTTCCCATCCTTATAATAATTCAATATTCTTATAATAATTCACAAGGACCCTGATTCCAATACTACTGTTTATTGTACACCACTTATGTTTGTTTACTACCCCATGCTAAGTCATGTCACTTGGCTAAGCAAAATTACCTTCCTTTTACCATTATGTATTTCACACTTTCAAAATTTGTTCCTCAAAACCTCTGCTCACAAATGAGCTACATTATTTGAGATCAGTTGCCACTGACCAAAGATTTTCTTCTCCGTGGCCTTTTAAAATATTTTCAGCTTACCATTAAAGACATTTTGCTATTAGAAGTAACATTAATAACCTTGTCCTGCTTCCAATTCATTCTTCTGTGAGTTACAAAATTGCAGAAATTCTCTAGAAATTCAATTTTCAAGCAATTTTCCCTCCTATTAATAAAATCCATCGTTTAACTATTAAAGATTCCATTTCTGACTTTAATTCTTGGAGGATTTATAGCATATCATTTTGATAGGTTGAAGTCTTTGATAGGTAATCATACTTGAAAATTTAATCATAATTTTGATTTTTTGACCAATTTGTGTCAGCAAAAATTATCCAAAAAGCTTCTTTGAGTTGCTGAATTGGATTTTATTGAAGTTTTTCCCATTCATAAAGATTTATTTTGAAAATTTTCTTTAAGTTAATGACTTTAAGTCTAAACCAGTCCTTCTTAACCCTTTTAAAATTCTATTAACTTAATTTTTCAATTTTGTTAAGATTTTTGCTGACAGATGATGCTACTTTCTTGCTCCCTTTACTGTCGTAGGGTATAAATATGACCACTGCGCCTACTGCTTTTTAGTCTCACAGATTTCTTTGCTCCTGATGAAGAGGGACCACCTGTACTTGTTTGCCTTTAAAATTGACTGAGTTATTGACTATGACTATGTATGCTAAACACAAGGTTGTTGCTTTGCTAATCTTAAATTTCACTTTGGTGTCTTTCTCTTCTGTTTTTGATATGCAATCTTATCAAAATCAATCCTCTTTGATCTAATAAAAATTAAACCATTAATCTTTCAAGGTCTGCAACTATTTTTCCATAACATGAACTTTTGTGCAGCAACATTAATAGATAAAGAACTGCAAATGGTTAACTGTAACAGTTTGATTACATACTTTACTTGGAAACTAAATTAAATTTTATAAAAAAATTATACAAATAAAAATAGTAATAAAACTTATATAAAAAATAATAAAAACTTACCCTTTATCTTATAAAAATGTAGCGTAATGAGTCAATTTGATTATAAGCTTCACAAGTATAGTAATTTCTATCTTGAAAGTCTGCTTCTTCAATCATCAACTTGCCCCTTTTCAAACCTTCATGATCTAATAATTTAACCCGTTCATTATCATCATCAACTTCTTCACCACCTACGTGTAAAAATGTAAATAAAATTTTAATTTTAATTATTTTTGATTTTACACAAGACAACAAATTAACACTAGACTAGATTATACTCCAAATCTCTCTATGAAATTAATGCTAGAACTACCAATGCATCCAAATGATGGACTTTTCCCCTTAGTAAAAAGAAGGGTACATTAATCATTGATAGTTCTAGTAACAAAAAACTTTTTACGGAAAATAAAAACATTATGGATCTGATATTTGAATATATTTCAAGCAAATACTAAGAAATATAAGTGGAAAAGAATTAATTAACCCTTTGTAAATGGAACACCCAAATTTAATCACTTCTCAAACCTTTAAATTCAACCGTAAATAGATAAAGCAGCATATCAAAAGGAGACACAGAATTTTCATTTATTATGAGTTATTAAAATCCACTTTTTTTCAAGTAATTTTCTCTATTTTTTAATGATAAAAAAATTTTATTTGGAAAAAAAAATTAGGCATAATTTTGCTGGCTGTAATCCAAATTATTTGTTCTATATTTTTTTTAATCTTTCATACAAAAACCATACGCAGAATCATTGAATAAAGCCAGGTGTTCCATTAGTGGGAACACTGCGCCTTTAGCGATCTCATGCTGTTACGAATCAGAACATCTGTGCTTAGGAGAGAACATCCGTTGTTTATGTTTTCTGTTTCTGTTTTTTTGGGGGGGGGGGAATGAATTCAACCAAAGCAGTATTGAGGGGTGAGGTGTGTTTTGTGTTATGAAAGCCCTAATATTGGCATCTCGAATTTTTTGGGAGTAGTTTTTAGGCGGGAATTTCATTAGTAGCTTGACTTATCTTTACTTAGACCTGCACGAATTGGTTGCTGTCGCATTTTAGTCTTATTCCCGTTTATTTTCAATAATTGCATAGATATTTTTCGTGTATGTTTATATTTATAGGCTATTTTCTTTATGTTAATATTAATCGTAGTTAATTTCTTTATTAGTTAATTGTTCCAAAATGACAAGGAAGGTCAAATTTTCCGAAAAATTTGTAAATATTTTTGTATATAGGACTTGTGTATATAGATATTTATCTCATTTATCCGTATATATTCAAGAATATTTTGAATATCCAGGAAACCTTGTATACAGCCATAATACAGAGTTTTTTCATTCTTATACAAATGCTTCTACTCATTTTTGTGCTTCACTGCAATGTTCGCTTACTCGCACTTTTAAAATCTCTGGCGGCGAAGTGTGAATTAAAACGGTAAGTGCAATTTTACAAAATTTTACCTGTATACTCCTTTAGGACTAAATAGACTGCACACAACTTTTTTTTGTTGAAATTCCGACGTTAACATATAGTGCGCCGCAACGGGTTAAAAAACCAACATTTATTTTCCAATATAACTCATAGTTTGTATAACTTTTAAGACACATCACTGCATTGAAAAATAATTCTGAAAGGTTGATATTACTTTTCCAATGCAACTTCTCCACAGTTTAAACACACTGCTTCCTGTATTTCTAAGACATTTTTAAAGTCTCCTCCCACATAATTTCTTTGATGGAAATCCAAATAAGGATTAAAACTATTAACTATAATTCAATTAAATTACAGTTAAGAATAATGGACATCATACATAAACAAATTTTTCAAAAGTGAACAAACATATCTATTAAATATATGAAAACTATAACAGCACTTTGTTATTTATTAAAAAAGAAAAGTAATAAAGTCTTCTAAAAGGCATCTAAAGTCTTCTAAAAGTTTCCTCTCATTTCTAGACATTTTAAATTGAAAAATCCACTACACAGAGTTTATGAAACTTGGGTTTCAGATAAATTTGTTAAGTCCATTTTCCTAGTTTTACTATTTTAAAATCTAGGTTCCCCATATAAAGACACTAAATTTATTACTTTCTCGATTTCAACCTAATAAGTGGCTGTAAAATAATTTTGCTTTCTTGGAGCAATCTATAAAATTTAAACTAGGTATAAACAAAGATTTAGCTGGGAAATTTATGTATAAGGGGGGAGGAATCTATCTATATAATTACTAACATAACGCACAGCATGGTTAGTAGAAAGTAAAAATTTGCATAAAACACTGTTGTAAACCGAATAACAAAGTTATAAACGAATCAGCCTCACAAACACAATGCTGTTATAGTGATACACAAAATGTGTGCTGCTTTACCAGGCCATGTAAATCATTTGCTAAGAAAAAAAGTTTTCAATAAAATAGAAGCAACCCTAAAACCACAATTCATGAATTCAAGTACTCTGAAAACTTCTGAAAAGGCCACTAGAAAGATTATTTTATGGCCTTGAAAAAATAGGATCATTGGAAATTAAGAGCTGGAAAAAGACTTTAATCTATTGTACAATAGATAACAGAAATTACAACTGCTATCATTGACAGATCACTCAATAATGGGATATATAAGGGGTAGCAGGTGACTTCAATACACTAAATTCAACAGCATGAAAAGCATTGCAACAAAGTAGCAATCTTATTAATGAAACAGGATCATTCGAAATTAGACCTGGGAGAAGGCAAACTGTTACACTACATATAGCAGAAATGACAACTGCTGTAATTGACAGATCATTCGATAATCCCTATAAATATCCAAAATTGTATAATTTGGAGTTCAAACACTCCAAAGAATTTAAAACTCCAATATATCCTGTCTGCTGTGGTTTACAATAAACTATTAAGCCAATTCTCGCTTATTACACAGAAGTTACACAGCATGCTTATCAGTTTTGGTATTTCACAATGTTTGTAACAAGGCTGCCTAAATTAAGACATTTTTATGCCTAAGGACTTCCTCACATTTAAAAAACTCGCAAAGAAACTCCCGTGACAAGAGTCCATACAGAAAGAATGATTAACATTCTTTTAATTATCTGAGTGGCATAATTTTTTAGATCTCCTCATGAAGAACTGTATTTAAAAAGCTTGTGATATCTGGCGACTGTTTGGCGATCAACAGAGCGTGCTTGGCGCATGTAGCTCTTCTCCAAGAAGGGTTAATGTATTTGAAGGGAGTTGAACGTTAGCCTCGGAAGAGGAAGGTAGTAGACTCTGCTATGCTGTAGGAGCGACGTACTGCTCTCAGTTCACTATTATACTTTGAATCATATATTTAATAAATTTTTGTTTCATCTTCTTAAATGGTGCCTTGTTGAACCATGAAGTCATCACAACACGCTCTCTTACGAGATCACCAGAGAGGTTAGAAGCTTAGAGCGTTGAAAACAGAAATGGTGTAAAGTTAAGCCTAACTCACGAAAGAAGTGTGCATTTGCAAAAGGGAGTAGAAACATGAGAATTATTTAATTGAGAGTTCAAAAAGCTTGATTCTAAAGCGAATAGAAGAAAATGTTCAAAAACGCAAAGAAAAGAGGATTTAGTAACAGTTCTATTGGAAATTGGCGAAGAAGCATCCCCAGATTTCAAGCTAGTAGAACTGAAACACAAACCTGAATTCGTGCTGAGTTCAAGATGCTGAGTTCATGAAAGAAATTCTGATTACTACAGTGGAGAATAGAAAAAGAAAAGAAGAAATGGAAAGAATACAAATGGAAGAAGAAAGATTAATAAGAGAAAGAGAACATGAAATACAATTAGCGAAGATTCGAGCAACTCAAAATGAAGGAAGTAGAAGTCTGACACCTTCATTCCAAAACACAGAACGAGAAACCGAAATTTCCCTTGACAAGCTGATCAAAGGAGTAGAAACACTGACTATATGAGTACCGAAAAGACCAGAAGAATGGAATATATTTTTCAATTCTATCGAAAGAGCATTTAAGCGCAAGAAGGTTCCGGAAGAATACAAATCGGAAATATTATTGAAATTAATTGGAGAAAAAGCTTCAAATGTTCTTGTTTATATAAATGAGGAAGATCTGCAAAATTACGAAAAAGTGAAAACTCTTGTTCTGAAGGAATACCAACCTACTCCTCAAAACTGTTTAGAAAATTACAGAAGTACTAAACGTTATTCCGGAAAAACGCATATCCAGTTCGCTTCATGACTAACAGCTACATGGGACTATTACTGCAATTATTAATGCAAGTCAAGAGAAGTAAAGGATTTCGAAACACTCAAGGAGTTAATTATTTCAGATAAATTATTCCAAGCTTTAGATGAAGAAACAGCTGCACACGTCGCAATACGCCAAGGAAATAAATGGCTGAATCCTCAAGAATTAGCTACAGAATGTGATATTTATTTCACGGCCAAAGGAAAAACTTTCGACGAAGTTCGAAAGGAATTAGCGATCCCGAGATTTCCTGGTACAAAACATATACACACGACAAATATTCCACCAGCCATTTGAGAAAAAATATTAAAAACAAGAGAATTTCACGCGAGAAGAAAAGAATGTTATATTTGTGGAAATCATCAACACATCGCGAGAGATGCCCAGACAAAAGAAGAAAAGAACGAAACTGCAGTAAATAAGAAGGGAAAGGATGATTCCAAAACTCAAAAAAAAATTCAAACAGAACATCAAAAGAAGAAACCATTTACGATGGTTTCTTCTTTTGATGTTCTGTTTGAATTTTTTTGAGTAGTAGACTCATCCCATCTACGATCCGAATTCGCAGAACGCACATTCAACCACTGCAAAAAGTAGATGTTTTTATTAACTCTGAGAAAAATCGAAGCTATCGTAGACTCTGGAATGCAGATAACGATCGTACATTCATCACTCATTCCAAATTTAGAAGAGAGAGAAGGAGGTAAAATCTTGCTAACACCTGCTTTCGGACAACCAATTGAAGCAAAAGTTTGCCGTGTACCTATTTACCATAAAGATAATGGAAGCAATATATTTCATTTTGTGGATATATTAATTGCAGTAACTGATAAGCTAAATGTGCCTTGCTTAATAACTCCAGAAATACACGAAATGTTGATTAATCCTGCGGCAGAAGAATCAAGCGCAGAAAGAAATAATTACAGAAACGAAAAAACGCAAAGTTTATTTGCCAATGCACAGTCAAACAAAAGCGTCGAGTACACCCCGCTAATGCTTTTGGAGGAGAAAAACGAAGAGGAGGAAGGAGAGAAGGCGAGTGTTTACGTAAACACAGACTTGTCGTCTGCTGAACGCCTACACGAAGAGCAAGTTAACTGTCCTTTGCTGAGAGAAGTATGGAATCTAGCTGTAAGAAAAAAAAAAGGAAATTATTTATTTATTGATCATCTGTTACATCACCAAGAAAAAATATTAGAACAGACTGTTTTTCAGTTAGTGCTTCTGCTTAGTAGAAGAGCACAAGTGTTGGAATTAGCACATAGTTCCATTTTTGGTGCGCATCTTGGAATAAGGAAAACAAAGGAGCGAATACGATATTCATCTTATTAGGCTGAATTAGCACAAGATGTCGAAACCTTTTGTAAAACATGCAAAGATTGTCAGTTGAAAAGTCCAGAAAAGCGATCTGACAAGATTCCCATCACACCGGTCAGAAGGCCAGGATTACCTTTCAAAGCAGTTAACATCGACGTTATTGGACATTATTGAACCTCCCTCTGCTAGGAAACATAAGTATGTGTTATGTCTGGTAGATCAACATTCTCGATGGCCAGAAGCCATTCCACTAAAAAGCTTGACAGCAAAAGCCACTTGCGACGCGCTTTTGGAGATTTTCATGAGAACAGGAATCCGTAATATAATAGCTAGTGACAACGGAAGTAACTCTGTTTCAAAATTAACTAAAGAATTCCAGAAAAAGACTAGGTTCTCACCCTAGGTTCTCTACATCTACTTACAGTGCTTCAAATGGATTAGTAGAAAGATGGAACAAGTCCTTCAAGCAAATGTTACATCATGTCATCAGGACTGATCCTTCGAATTGGGATAAGTACATCCCATACCTGCTCTTTGCATACAGAGAAGTACCAAATTGTACCACGGATGTCTCACCATTTCAGCTGATGTATGGAAGACAACCAAGAGGTTTTTTAGCAGTACTGAAGTCTTGATGGAAAGGTCAGGAGAGGTATTTATACTACCTAATCTAAGTGAATCGGCAGTGGATTACTTACAGCATTTAAAAATAAGATTAGGAACGAGCAGCTGAGCAAGCCAATTTAATTGCAAGTGACAAACAACAGTAATATGCTGAATATTTTAAACGGAGATCAATACAAAAAATTTCAAAATAGGAGGATCAAGTATATTTACTCATCCCAGATTCAAATAACAAACTCTAATGCACGATTGGACTAGGACCATGGGGAAATCGTATGAATCATTGTCCACCTCATTCCTATAAAGTAAAACTACCTGATGGAAAGATCAAACATGTTCATGCAAATAAAATTAGAAAATTCCACGCTAGCGTCAATGCAGTTGGAGTGATATTTGAAAATGAAGAAGAATTTGGAGAAATTATAACTTCGCCAAGAAAAGATTCGAAATAGAACATTGCCCTGGAAAAAAACTGTCGAACGCAGATGCATTATCCAGATTCCCCACCTGTTAACTTTGAACATTAATTTACTGTTCATCTTCACGAATATTTTGTATACAGTCAAAAGTCGTTAATTCGGACTCGTCGGGACTTCGGCGATTCCGGATTATCGATTTTTTCGGATTATAGATCATCAGTTTAAATCTCGTAAGATGGCATGCAGAAATTCTAAAATAAATATGAAACCGTAATTTATGAATATAAAGAAAAATTATGATCTAAAGGGTATCAAAATTACACAAAAAAAAAGCTTAATATTATTTGTTTACTTTATTAAACATTTCTTCAATGTAAGTTGTTTAAGTGCTTCGTTTTTTATGTGATAATAATTTCTAAATTTTTCTATAAACAGACATAATTTCTTGTTCAGTCATAAAGTTCCGCTGTTCAAGTCCCGTTAATTGCTGGTGCCGAGAATACCGCTAACTTGTCAATCGAAATTTTTTTGTTTTCACTAACCTCTCTGTCACATTCTTATGTCTTTATAATTTTTTGGAGCAATTCCACTTTTATTTTTGGACATCGAAAACGAAACATACTTTCGTTTTGTAGATCCTTTGGAAGTTCCAGCATCGGAAATTCTATTGAACATAATCGAATTTCAAGTTTACTTTTATAAAATTGCTCTTACAGCTGCAAAAAATAATAAGCGGGATCCAATTCGAAGATAAGGAACAACGCAATCATTATTAAAACTGAAATAGATAATTAGATAATTTTAGCTTAACACCATCTGTTTACATTAACGGCAGGCGAAAAACGGATCTGAACGCGCACAGCATATGCGCAGTAGTCAAGGTCTTACGCGCACGCGTAAGGCGTCTGTGCACATGTGCCAACGCGGCGCATGCGCAGAAAGTTTTTAGCTTTGAGGTCCGGATATAGATATTCCGGATTATGGGTGTGTCGAATTAAAAGACTTTTGACTGTAGTTAATTATTAGATAGTTTTCTTGCTTTTCATAATAATTTATAATTTTGTGCAAATAAGATGTTTATGTAATTTGAAATAGATAGAAAAAATTATTGGATAACAAATATTCGAGGGGTAGTGGTAAATTTAGATATTTGTCTCCCAAGGATATAAATATGCTGCAGCATCATTAATTAAAAAGAACGTTAAGAATTAATTTTATATATATAAGAAGCTTAATAATTTTACTGTCATCATTGGAATAATACTAAGGCATATTTTAACATGTTTATAAAAGAAAAAATATCAACTTGGTTTCTTTGGGTTAAGAATTGATAAACTGTTACAATAATAATAATGCTCGGAACAAGTAAAGTTAAAAATGCGTTATCTATGTTTATATATGTTTATGTAGTAAATTAATCTGCAGTTGTACGTATTACATTGCAAATGTCTGTAGTAATTGAGATTTGAATATTAGGGTAGAACGTATAAATGTATATGTAGTTTCTTTTTCTCGTTGATCGCAAACAGTTGATAGATTTTAGTTTTCAGATTGCTGATTGATTGGTAAATAATATCAACAACAATCTTACGAAGAAGGTGTGATATCTGGCGACTGTTTGGCGATCAACAGAGCGTGCTTGGCACGCGTAGCTCTTCTCCGAGAAGGGTTAATGTATTTGAAGGGAGTTGCATGTTTGCCTCGGAAGAGGAAGGTAGTAGATTCCGCTATGGTGTAGGAGCGACGTACTGCTCTCAGTTCACTATTATGCTTTGAATCATATATTTAATAAATTTTTGTTTCATCTTGTTAAATGGTGCCTTGTTGAACCCCGAAGTCATCACAAAGCTTCTATTACTTAACTTTGAATAATTATTTATTTTAGTCTCTGTTTTCATAAACTAGCATTCACATTAAGATATTTACATCATTAAAGAAAGTAAGACAATAAAATAATTTAAACTAATATGCATCAAGTAATAAAAAAAAATCTCATGATCGGAGGAAGGTGGTTAAGCTTATTTGGCCGTCTCACTTTTGAAATCATTTCATGCCATTTTTGTTTGCAGGCAGGAATAATTTTTTTACTGGAAGGAAATATTTGTTGCCTTGCTATCAGAACTAATAAAAGCAATTAAACCATTGTGCTAATTAGTAATGGTAAATAATAATTAATGCTTTAAATTAGCCCTATTTTACTAAACTATTATTAACAAATAAAAATTACGCACATTTTATTAAATATATGTATTAAAAAACAATCATTGCTTTAATCAGCATGTAATTCTAATAATGGAAACTATAAAAAAATGCTTAACCCAACTTCTTTTAAAAGCAAAATTAATAAAAATTAATTCTCGTAAGCTTATTTTTCTAGATGAAGTACCAGATAAGCTTTATCATTGAAGCCAATCAATGCCACCAATCGCAGCTTATATTATATCCTTTGGAGTTTGTCAAAATGGCAGTTTGAATTCCAGTATGAGAGATTTTGTCATTTAAAAAATTTCAAAGACCAGAGATACCTTTAACCCTCTGAACGGCCAGGGCTTTTGCTAAGAAAGCACAAATTTCGCAAAACTACTATGAGAACAAATTATTTTTTTGATTTTAATGTAAAAACTCTCCTGGTATTTCATACCTGGATTTGTTTTCTTTTGATATATTGCCTTAATTTCTTTGAAATATTTTAATATTCACGCATATATACGTTCTTACAGATATCACAAAAAATATTCTAGGCCGTAATATACAGCCTTGCCGCTTAGAGGGTTAATGCGGCAAAGGCAATTTTTTTTTTTTTGTCACAGTGGCAATATCCCATACTGAGAATCCGTCCTTTCTTTACATACACTCATCAGTTTATTAACCCTCTGAGTGGTTATAGGTACTTACAGTCTTTTAATTAAAATTCGAGTTCCACAGAATGTCATGAATTGGTGGTATTTTCTTGACCTTAATTCCAAAATGACAATCTCACTTTATACCCTGGACTTCTTTTCTTGGAATATACTTTCAATCCAAAATTGGGTACCTAGGAGATGGCTCAAATTTTCATGTGCCATGAATCGGAAAGCTATACCTCTATATGGAATTTTATTCCTTGGAACATTCAGATGAGATTGCATATTTACTAGTAAATAACAGGCTGAAAATCTGTCTGAGAAAGATATAGCTGCTGATTTTGACAATTGGGAATTTCAGCAAAGCTTTCACATTGTGCATCAACACCATTAAAAAAAAAAAAAAAAACTCCAAATTTCCTTTAAAATATATGATTACAGTTATTGAACTATTTATACTACGATTTTTATGTAAAATGTATTTAATTAGTTGTTCGAAATTTTATGTCATTTGGCTGCATTTTTTTAAAGCTTTTTTAACGCTTTTATCTGCAGAAAGAATCCACAGTGATGTGTTATAATTACCTTGTTTAAACTTGGCACATTCATAAATTGAGAGTATACTTCAACAAAACACTTGTTAAAAAGAGCTATAAATACTATCGTTAAGACAACTTAAATCAAAATTAAAGTATTTGATAATTAAATGAATGTTCTTACAACTCTTCATAATGTATAACAAATTACCTATAAACCACTTTATATGTGGCATAGGAGCTCCTTTGGCAAGGCAGTATAATTCTAGAGGACTACCTTGAACCACTACAGATGATTGCTCAAATTTCTCTAACTTTATTTTAGCTGAAAGGATAAAATTGCATTTGTATAAATAGTATATATATTTAAGTATATATACTGATGGAAAATGAAATCTCAACATTAAGAAGAAATCTTTAGAGGAATGAAATGTAGGCAAAGCATTTGTCTAGGTAACGTATTTATTAAATTAATGTTTCAAGGTCACAGGTTAAAGTATGTCGCACAAGAATAGCCATTTCAAATGTGAAATGATGATACACTAAATAAACCATTGTAGTCATCATGATGTTGAATGCAAGCTTGCAAATGTGTATGCATTATGTCACACATGTAGCATATGTCATTTTGCGGGGTACAGTTCTATGCCTGTTGTACTTGGTTAATCAAATCAGCAACAAGCTGTGTTGGTTGTGAATGTCGCTGGATTTGTTGCCCATGTCCCTAATGTGTCGATGGGGTAAAGATTGGGTAATCTTACAAACCAAGGCAATGTGTCTACTCTCTGTAGAACACACTGGTTGGTAACAGCAATATGGCGATAAGCATTATCCTAAAGAAAAATGCCTCCCTGGAATATTCCTCAAGAAAGGCAGCACAACTCGTGTAATTAACATTCCAAAGTAAAAATTTCCTGTCAAGATGTGTGGGATAACAATGAGAGTGCTCCTGCTGTCATAAGAAATTGCTCCCCAGACCAGAACTCCTGGTCAAACGTGTCTATGCTGCAGATAGCTTGGTTCCAAATACTCACCTGGCCTCCTTCTAACCAATAAATAGCCATCATCTGCACCAAGACAGAAATTGTTCTCATCTGAAAATACAACTGATCTTCACTTTGACCTCCAGTAAGCTCTAGCTTGACACAATTAAAGTCACAGACGGCAGAGATTTAGAGTCAGTAATATGGCCACTACAAGACATCTGCCTTAGAACTATCCTTCAGGTAATCAATTTGTTACAGTTGTTAAATGATCCAACAAAAGTTGGAATGTCTGCTCCAGATGTGGTACTACGCACCACAGACGTGCAGGAAATAAGACAGACTTCTGTTTGAGTAAGCAACACATGCACGGCCAGACCCAGCTTTCTTGAGACAGTACCTTCACATGACAACTGCAACCAACATGCATGCACAATGGATACATCCTGCCATGTCTTTCTGCAATATCATGAAAAGATAACTCATCTTCTTGTTCTATTAAACAGCCTCATTCAAGCTGAATAAGCTGTTGCTACTGTCTTCTTTGCTTCATTCTTGACACAAATTTCACTCACCCACTCTAGAAGATAAATAAGGACGCGAAGTTTACATTGTGCATTTAAACCACACATGATCACGAGTGGCCAAACAGTAAAGTCCCTGAACACTGATAGTTTTGGTCCGAGGTCCGAATCCCGCGAATGGGCTGGCTGCATGGGAGTTTTCATGGTTTTCTTCATGTATAATGTGTTAATACGAAACAGTTTCCTTTAAAAAAATCCTCCACAAAGGCTGGGAATTTTCATGGTTTTCTCCATGTATAATGTGTTAATATGAGACAGTTTTCCTTGAAAAGTTCCTCCACAAAGACATCCAACAAATATGATTTGCAAGTTCATAATGGGTCCTATTAGTACCATATTTAATAGTGAAATCTGAACAGATATCATTTGTCAGATGTGTAAATATACCTCCCCAAATCTGTTTATCTAAGACAACTCCTTCTTGATGTTGGGATTTCATTTGCCATAACTGTTATATAAATATATTCACCTATATTATAAATATTGAAAGATGCTTTTAAATTTTTATGACAATAATATAAAAAATACATCAATCTTTAACTGAATTAGAATATTTTGCAGAAATAAGTTTAAATGAAGTACAGCAAAAAACATTCATAATTTAATAGGTCGCAAAGGAAGTCATGGGATCCCCATAAGATTTTTCAATTTCAATTCATCATTATGTAATTACTTTATTTATTTTATATCAAAGTGAATTCCTACTTTTGACTGATACTCATGATGTTAGCACAAAATCTGACGACTACACACCAGAAGCTACCCTCTCTATGTGGTATAGAATATGTGTAAATTTCCCCCTTCTCATTAAAATTCAGCTTTTGTGACAGTCTGGCATAACATAAGTAACATTTTAGCTTTCTAAGCAGTCTGGAAAAATTTGTGTAATAATCACAAGACTATAGTTATTGAACAAACAAAACAAATAAGAACATTACTGTATTTGAAACGACAGAAATGTTTTTGTTTTTATACCCATTTTAAAGAATAAAACCCAAGAAAAAGAAACAAATATGATGAACTTACATTGAACAACTATGGTAGCATTTAAGGCAACATCAAGCTGCTTTCTATCAATAGCACAGACATAGACACCTGAATCATTATATGAAGACTGCTGAATAAGAACAGAATTATTCTTTTCATATATTTCTAAATGACCTGGAATAGGTTCTAATAATTTATCGTCTTTAAACCTAAGGGGGAAAAAAGAAGTCTATAAGAACTTTTTGGTAGTCTTATAAATTACTACATAAAATTAGTTGCTAATAAATATTGATTATACTTAATAGTACAATAGAAACTTCAAGAAATAAGGGAAGAAAATTATTTTTAGACCTTCACTGGAAACTAAATTTTAATACGGAGGAGATAACTAAATTCTTAAGTTCCACCGCAAGTTTTTGGTTTTATTGTAAGCACAAAGTATATGCATTTCATTTAAGAATTTGAAGAATAATAAAGGGTTAACTTTATCTTTTTTCTGTGCTGGTATTATTCACACCTGTGCAAGAAGTCGCCAGGTTTCCTAGTAAGATCTGTTTAGTTTATGATAACGAAGAGAATAAGATCTTGCAATGTGTTTAACTATTAGGTGATTCAGAAACAACAGGATTTAATTACCGACTCCTACTAATACTGCTTCTCATAACAATGCATTCTACATTATTTTAAATTTAATGTAAGGTGGGAAATGGTAATATATTTTTACTAGTATATTTTAAGATCTCATAATTACATTACAATATTATTTAACATAAAATTAAACCATTATGTAACAGGGAGTATACAGGACATATTTTACTTAGGTATTAATGTATTACTTCATGCCGAGAAGAGTTTTTTTTTAACATTTTTATCTCTAAATAATTAATAAAAATTTTCACATTATACACTGTTTCAATTTTCAAAACAGAATAATTCATATTTACGAAATGTATAAAATTATACATTAAATTACTTTAAAAAGCGACACAATAGATTTAACACAAAGTTATTTTCTCTAATATTAAAATGTATCATTTACTATAACAAGTAGAGACAAGGATATGATGATTCTTCTCTGTAAGGGATACTTTATCAGTTTTTTTGCTTTCATTGAAATTTTCAAACACACTAAACCTTCTTCTGCAAAATTGTCAAAATTATATTAAAAATTATTAGTACATAATGTTGGACAACAGACAATGTCACCAGCAAGTAACAAATGTTTAATACTGCCCTCTGAATCTTCTTTAGAAAAGGACAAAACTTTACTCCACTTCTGCAAGTCTCTGGAATAGAATATTACCATAGAATGGTTTTGCTTAAAGACTCAGTTTGTCACAAGAATACATATTTAATGTAATCATATATGCATTCTCTAAGCTACATATGTTCATCTTTTTCAGTGTAAGTTAAATAAACATAATTCATATTACATGAAACATCACACATTATTAGTTGTCTAGAGCAAGAGGAATTTTACTGCAAAATAAGAAACTTTTATGCACTTCATTTTTAAACTATCAAACATAATTTCTTAAAGTAGAATACAAAAAAGCTTGCTCCTGATACGAAAACTCATAGATACAAACTAATCACACTGCTGCATGTCTGTTGGTTATGTAAAAAAAATAACGCTATCATAGGGGGGGTGTGAAGTGAAGTTTTGTCGTTTGGTTATATTATGCGTAACTTCATATAGAGTTTTTGGAATGCTTTCGTTTTTGTATGGATTATGCAATTAAGGTTTGATACTGTGTCTTCGTTCGGGTGTTCATGTTACCCACATCCATGATTATCCTTAAGTCACACGTGCCCCCTGGGTAGTGCTAAATGGGTAACTGCCACAAAGTCCTGTCGCATATCGGGGTTTAGTGGGATGAGGTTTGGTTTGATGATGAATAATCTTATGACGACCCAACGGACTGCTCCTCCCTGGGAAAACCAGCGACTCTAGGGAGGATTTGAAATTCTGAGGACCTTTGATCTGGAGAGGAGGGGTCTTGGAGTAGCGCCTAAGAGGATACAGAGAAAACTGAGTTTGCGTCTCAGGCGCCAGATAGACATGAGCCCCGGCCAGCCTAACAGCTGTCGGCTGCCATCAGCTGGTGTATAATCTCGCTGCTGTAGTTCCAGGTGGTGCCTGGGTGGGTTCCTGCAGGCGAGTCGGGGGCTCTTCCGAGGTCACTGCTGGCTGCTGAATCTGGGGATAGCCCCTCCAAACTGGCTCTTAGTAAATCGGAAGGAATTTTCCCCCCTTTTTTCAATCAAATACCAAAATGGATGTTAGCAATATAGAGTCAGATAAAAATGCATCCTCTGAAACCCCCACTTTAAACACTGTAGCTCCTTCTAAGGGAGTGAATGCGCCCTTTGGGTGCAGATGCTCTTCTCTTTAGGCCTACAGAAACCAGAACCGCTGGTGAAGGGGTGAAGTGAATGTGAACCCAGTGGGGATGGATACTGACTCCTCTGTCAGAAGTGCTGTGCCAAGTGTGCAAGCGGATGACCAGTCACCAATGACAGAGGTTGTAAATAAAAGAAGAGAAAAGAGACAATGCCAGAAGGAGCGGAAATGGCTGAAGAGGGCCATGGAAGGGATCTCGATCACTGGGGAAAAGGGAGCGAGGGAGAAAACAGATAATGCTGGGACCTCTGGAATGACCTCCAAACTGGTGAGGGAGAGCCATTGAAGCGATGAGGATTCTTGTAAGAGAGAACGCATTGCTGGTCACACCTCAGAAATGGCCCTCAAGAAACGACGGCATTATAGTCAAGCTGTGAGGAAGGCAATTACTCTGCAGGTCGTCTGCAAGGATGACTCCAGAGACATAACGTCGGCAGATTCGGAATTCATCACTTCTATGATTGAAGACTGAATTATCGACGGCTCCATCACCACCTGTAGGGTCCACAAGACAGTCCTGTAGCTGAATGGCCTCAACATTGCATGTGAGGACCAGTAGACTGTGGACGTCCTAGACTTTAATCAATGATCTACCTGGCCCTGAAGAAAACCATCCCGGTTATCACGCCGTGGCTCCCAGGGACAGACTACCCATGAATAGGTTTTTCGCTTGGTTTCCTGGTAATAAATAGGTCACCAAAAGATAACATCAAGCTCCTTGATGCCTGTAACAAGGGCCTGGATGTTAAGAAGATTGCCCTCAAGGCAGTCATCCCTGGAGACGGAGGTAACACTCTGATGCTGGGAGTGGAACCTGAGCTCATGGATTACCTGGAGGCCCAGAATTTCAAACTTTTTTGTGGTGCCCATGGCTCTGTACAGCTGAAGGAACCAAGACAACAAGAGAAATCAATTCCTCCACCCAAGGATCCTTTGAGGAAACAGTTGATGGGAGAAGGGGAGACCGAAAAGGATTCGGAACCAGAGCTTTCTTTGGAGGCTCTGGGGAAGACCTCTGAATAGGTTTCCCTGTTACGACTCCTAAAATACTTTAGGGTAAGTTCTTATCTCTCATTTAACCTGTTTTAAAGGTTAAGGTTAGTCAGCTAAACCTGCAACATAGCAGAGCAGCTTCATATAATTTAGCTGCTCAATTAGGTAAGCAAAGCACTTTTGTTGCCTTAATTCAAGAACCTTGGGTCTTGGTAGGCCCATGAATGCACACTTCTTTTCGTCAGAAGGACCTAACAAACGACCTAGAACTAGTATTTACATTTCTAAAAATATAAAAGCTATGAAATTATCTCAGTTTATATCAGAGGACTTAATGCTATTTTAACAAGGACATAAATAGTCACTGAGAGGAAATTTGTTTTTGCTCGGGTTTACATGGCTTATGACTTTAACATCCGCAAGATTATAGATCTTGCGAGTTTCTGTGAAATAAACAATATTCCTATGGTTATTGGTGGGTGATTAAACGCTCTCACCTATCATGGGCAGTTCTGATACCAATCTTAGAGGAGAAAAACTCATGGAACTTATAATGAATACCAACCTAACTTCGGTAAACAGGGGAAATCGTCCCACCTTTGTCAATAGAAGAGAAGAGGTCATTCATCTCACACTAACTTCTGATATTTATAACTTTATTGAGAATTGGCACGTAAGTGACAATCTCTCACTTTCATACCATTGCTTTATACAATTTTGTATTAGAGATAATTTCAGCTGAATATTTCAGAAACATAGTCACAATGACATATGCCTGGACTTGGGCAATGAGATCCCTATAATCTACATGCCCAAAGATGCAATTACTAAAACAATAGTTCCAGATAAACTATTCTCAACTTATATACCAAAAAGGAATGAGATAGAATCTCTAATTGACCTAATTCCAACAGGATCAATTGAATGTTACACAGATGGATCAAAATCCAACTTTACCGGAGCTGGAGCTTTTCCAGAACCAAGGGATCTGGACAAGATTTCATTAGATTTCATCTATACCTTGGTAAACTAACAACTGTTTTCCCAGCTGAGGTTCTGGCGATCAATAGGGTCGCCAGGGAACTCTTAGCTAAAAATACAGTTGATAAGAATATATATATTCTCTCTGACAGCCAATCAGCCATCCTTGCCCTTACTAATCATGTCAAGTTACAAAACTGTATTTTGAACTGTACTCAAAATTTCAATTCCCTGGCTCAGGCCCATAACACCATTAGTTTAGTCTGGGTCCCAGGTCATTGTGATTTTGCTGGAAATGAACTAGCTGATAAAGTAGCTAAAGATGCTTCGCAACTACCCATGCCTGGCCCAGAACCATTTTACCCAGTTTCATATCAATCTGTTAAAAAAGAAATAAGAAGCTGGATAAAGAACAAACATGATAATATATGGTCTAAACTACCAGACTGTGCTCATTCTAAACTGGTGCTCAGTACACTTAACTTATCAGGTAAACTCATATACCTCAGTAAAACTAACTTACGCCAGGTAATTCAAATTGTTACCAGACTTGCTTATCTGGCCAAGCATCTCCACAAATGTGGTCTTGTCGAAATCTCCTGTCTGCCCAGCTTGTGGAGAAGAAGAGGAAACACCTTTTCACTTCCTGGGACGATGTCCGGTGCTTTCTGTCCCTAGAAACAAATTTCTTGGGTTTCCCTACATTAGCTTTGATCAGGCTCTTCTATACAAAGGGCTCTCTGGCATAATAGGGTTTCTGATGTATACTAAACACCTACAGGTAAGGTGAATATACACCACCTGGCCATTTGGCTCTGCCCTCCTTAATTA